CACTCTGAACTGTGCTTTGGTTTTGATAGAAAAAAATTTTTTTCCACTTCTTTATGGCCCTGAGATGTCTGAAAGACAAACTTTCTCAAGACCTGGGAAGGCAATGTAACCTATATCTAAGTCTCTGTGCCCATGAGAAACTGATTATTTTCTTTTCTGGCTTTTAAGAATAACTATATTACTCTGGTTTTACAGTATCTGTTCCAAGCCTTGGTGTTCCCTGTAGGCTGTAACAGACTGCATGTTGCTACTGAGTACCATGATAGAAAGATATAAATACAGAGGAGAGTTTCGTATGTAGAAGTATCTGTTTGATTCAAAGATACGTGTTAATCACCGTCCTTCAGCTGATAACTTGTGGTTTGTTGGCTGGATGCAGGATGTTTGCTTTTTCCTTATGAAGGGTCCTGAATAGGGAAGGGATCAGGAATAGAAATGTGCTATAATATAGGACTTTTCAGTTTTGAGCTGTATCCAAACAAGCATCAATGGGAATAAGGATTTGAAGGCCCACACCGTACGGGTGTTTTTAGGCATAAGCTATTTCACTTAGATTGGTTGCTGCTGCAAGGAGGCATCACTTTTAAATCACTGTAACTGTTAAATAAATATATGTATTGAGCTGTGCTCATTTGGAACTGGGTTTCTCCTCTCCTCAATTACACTGAGAGACATTCTAAATTAGTATAGCCTGCCCAGCACCCTACCTTTCAAATCTTAAAATCTGATTTTGTTAATACAAAATTTTCAGTATTCCTTACTTGATGCCTTGTTGATTAACACTCTCTTAACTAAATTGCCTGTTTGAGTCATTTGATGACAGTTTATATCAATAGCTTTCTGGCTTCTCTTTCTCAAGCCGGAACTCAGTAATTATATAGTCAGGCAACGGTTGCAAACTCTCTAGGAGTTAATGTCCTTCATCAAGGGTATTATTGCAGCAGCTAATGTGCCAGTGCAGTGATGGGCTGCTGTGCTGGCCATCTTTTATTTATTAGCACATGCATAGAGGAGAAAAAAGAAAAAGAAAAAGAAAAAAAAAAAAAAAACACAGGCAAGAGGTCGATATTCTGACCTTAAGAAAATATCAATCTTTTCTTACTTTTTTTTTTCATTTTAAATGAGCTACAGTACTATTAATTTTTATCTACAAAGGAGAAAACTGAGAGGCTGTCTGTTCACAAAAGCATCAGAGATTCATTTTATAAATGAGAACCCAACCATGCAATCCTTCCTCATGTAAGCAAAACCTTCCTACCCTCACAGCCTGACTGACATTTGGATGATCTACACAATGATGCATGAAATTTATAAGTTGCAGGACTGACTCCTAAACTACCAAATTTAAGATACAGTCAAGGTGTACAATAGGAATGCACCTTTAACAAGCATTTCTCCTAGCATTTTTTGGTTATTGCATTATTGAAAGCCAATCAAAATTACATTACTGCCACAAGGATTGATATAAAGTTGATCAATTATTCATGAAGTAGTTACCTCACATATTCAGTATCAGGTTATGTGACTTGTCAACCCTTGTGTGCAATACTGTTCCTATTATCTTTAGATGAGCAATAAAATAAAACATTCATAATTAACATCTTAATAAAATGTGGAGAGTATCTATTTCTTTCTAAGCGCTTGTGAATACTGTCAAAACACATGTTCTAGTGGACAAAACATGATAGCAGTATCTCAGTCAGAAGGTGGATTTGTTCAATGGTTTATTTTAACCACATTGCTTAGCTCTGTTTCATTAACCTCCATCTTATGCAAAATGTAACTCCTTACCCAGTAGTTTACACTCTGCAATTTCCAGACAAGACTTTTGTCTTATTTACTTACATGTGTCACAGCAGGTATTGCCAATTTTTGCAATTCTGCCCTAAAAAAAAAAAAATTTTGGCACATGTAATACACATTTTTTCCCCTGGAAAAATACAGAGAGATGTTTCAAATAGGATATTAGGCATGAAAATTGTATTTCTGTATTGTACAAAAATATAAATCTACATCCCTTCAAATGGGTACATTTGAAGGTCTTGAACCTGTGGTTGTATTTGATGATAGCTGATTGGAAATAATTGACTATATTAGCAAGTCCAACACATGAAAATATTGTTCTCACTTTATATTAGGAGCTTTCTAAAGTAAAGACATTGAATAGCAATGAATTTGTGGGAAACACAGTAATAAAACCAACAGTATTCAAGTCTTAAGTCTGTTTAAGAGAGGAAGCAGAACAGTCACTCTTGATTATTTTTTGAGGAACGTAGATAGATGAAAGCATGCCTATTCCACAACAGCTGAAAATGTACAGGCAAATGATCATAAAATATCACATCAGTCAAATAAGTTTTAAGGGACAAATATGTTATATTTATTCTTTCATTAATACCATGTAGAAAATCATTCTCAGAAATATATGTATGGTGGAAAATTACTGAAATCCCATAGTGGAAAAATGGAGAAATGTTTATACTGCAGGGTGATGCCAGTATGGCACTAAGCACCTGAAGTTACATGCAAAATTTTGTAGGCTTTTTAAATTAAAACACCTAAACTTCCCAACTCTAACTAGATGAAACCCACCAATTTTATAGCTAAAATAGTTTTGGGGTTTTGTATGGGAGGAGAATAAATGAAATTTGGGAAGTTCTGGTTGAGAAGTATACTATATTTCACTGATTTACAATGAAGACCTTTAGAATATGATAATAACCCCAAGCCTGTTACATAATCCAGCATTCTTCTAAATCTTTGTTTGTGTAACACAACTGTGTGTGCTATAGTGATTTCACAAAGTGAGAAATGCACTCGAGAAACTTTATTCTTCTTGCATTATAAATATCTAATCCTCCACTTTCTTGATCTGTTGGCTGAGAGACGTTTGGGCACAAGCTTTGCTGAAGGTTTCCTGCTTCCTGTCATGCCCAAGAAACGGGACAGGTGGGTATAAACACCTGTATGATGCTAGGAAAAGCAGGACCCCACGTGCTACACCCCAACCTGCACCCTGTTCCTCAGTTCATGGCTAACCTCCAATCACAGGAAGGCTGGGTGGCATGTTGAGCGGGGTTTTTATTATACCCTGGTACCAAACAACTGTGAAAGTGGAAGTTTGCACTCTTCCTGCAGCACTGTGAAAATTCTCTTCCTTAATCTCATTCGAGGGTAGAGGTCTCAGCGTTTTCTATGAGTATTCATAGAAAAAAGGGGCTGATCTGACTCTTTGCTCAGTCTGTGCAATTATCCACACAGCTTTTGCTCTGGACACCAAACTGAAAACATTATGAGAACAACCATTTTCTTGTGTTTGCTGCTTCATATAGAACAGAATTACGGCAAGCTCAGCTTCTCTCCTGCAGTATAGTCCCACACAAAACCAGCATATATTTTAAAATAAAGAAAACTCACATTTTTCTCAACTTCGAGGAAAGTTCAAATTCAGTTTAGCCAATGTGCTGGGAGAGGGTTGGGGTTCCCCACCCTGATACACATAAGGTACCTATATACAGAACCATTAACACGACAGAGTCTATGAGGAAACCTGGAAACCGGACCCGTTTCACTACTTACTCCTTCAGTCAAACATCTTCTGGAATCAAATGGAGGACAGCCAGTGATTCTCCTTTCCCAGATAAATTCCCCTTTCTCATTTACTTTACAGGAGTGACTATCACAGCCATCCTGAAGGGATTCATTTGGCTGCAAAGATTTAAAAGCTGTTAGGTTTAAACAGAAACAACATGGGACAGTAAGTTGTCAGGATACTATACGACCTGATTATTCCTTTAGTGATATTTCAATTAAAGTACCATGGTGGTGAAGTTTATAAAACATGAAAAACTCCAGTAAACAGTAAAAAAAAAAAAAAAAAAGAAAAAATAGTTTATCAACAAAGTCATCATCTTCTGTTTACTTCCATAGCCATACTGATTACAGCTCAGTCAAGACTGCCAAATCCTGACCTTTTTCAGCTATTAATAGGGAAGAAATTTCCATCAATTTAAAAAAGAAACTTGTCTAAGTGAGAAACTTGAGAGTTTGGCCTACGAATTGTCTTTTAAAGACACATATATATGAATATTTAACTTTTGGCTGAGCTGGGAACTTCTTTAAAGAAATACATAAAATCACATTGCCACTCCCCCACATAGAATCATTTAGGTTGGAAAAATCTTTAAGATAATCAGGTCCAACCATTAACCAAACACTGCCAAGTCCACTATTAAACCATGTCCCTAAGCCATGTCCCATGTCACCTACTAAAACTACTAAACCATGTCCCACGTCATATATGTATCTTTTAAACACCTCCAGGGATGGTGACTCCACCACCTCCCTGAGCAGCTTGTTCCAGCCCCTGACAACCCTTTTGGTGAAGAGATTTTGCCTAATATCCAATCTGAACCTCCCCTGGTGCAACTTGGGGCTGTTTTCTCTAGTCTTATCACTTGTCACTTGGGAGAAGAGACCAACACCACCCTGTCCTCAATCTCCTTTCAGGCAGTTGTAGAGAGTGATAAGGTCTCCCCCGAGCCTCCTCTTCTCCAAACTAAACAACTCCTGTTCCCTCAGTCATTCCTCACAGGACTTTTGTTCCAGACCCTTCCCCAGCTCTGTTGTTCTTTCCATACACTCCCCATTTAAAACTTAGCTCAGGAATGGAATAAAAGAAAAAGTTATATGCTATATTGTGATGACCTGATGGGTTTTAACCAGAAAAATATCCACTCCTTTTAAAGAACCTATCATGCTGGAGACGTATATCAAAATTCACATTTTCAATTTAAATTATCTATTTCTCATTTAAAATTAGTTTTTAATTTTCTCTAAGTAGTTGTTTGAGCTCATATTCCAGTTAAAGTTCCTTGATAATATTAATGCTTGTGGGTCCATTTAGAATGTCCTTCTATAATTTTGCACAGTGGTATGAAGTCTACTTTTTTCATTTATAAACAGCAACAACAAAAAAAGAATCTTCTTGAGAAACCCTTCTAAGAAACAAAGGAAAAGGCACTAGTAATACCATGATGCCTAATCAAAAATGAGGGAAACAATATACTTTGCTTGGGTTCACCAGTCGTCTGTGCTACATTTACATTTACTCATAAATTAAAGAGTGCTTAAAACTTACCTGAAGGTATTTAAGCCTTCCATCTCTCAGCCTGATGCCGCATGAAGTTGGCACACATTTTCCACAGCAAGACCCAGGGATTTCCTGCCTTCTGTAATTCTGCAAAAGAAAGAAAGGAAAGATGAATCATGAAACCCTACAAATGGCACAGGGAGGAAAAAACAGTGGCAGGGAAAGGAGCATGAGGGAATGAGCAACACTAGATGGAGTGGAAGGAAGGTGTAGAGTGGATAATGGAAAGGAAGAACAAAAAACCAGAAAGGAACTGGGTTAACACATGAAATGTCCCACAGTTATGTCTCCAGCTGCTACACATAACCAACAGCTGCTTAGGATGAACTGAACATTTTTAAGACAACAAACACCCTGGTTGAGGGGAACCGTGTATGATATCCATATGTTTTTTTATAGAAAAGGAATTTTTGTAGGGTGGGGGGTTACTGTTAAATCACTGCAAGAAAACATAGTTCATTGTTATTTAGGTGAACTTGCGCTACTAGCAAAAACATAAGCACATAAAGTAGGTCATAAAATGTCAAAAAAATAAAAAAATGACCCTGATGAGCAGAATATGCTGCAGTTGGCTGCACTTCAATTACCAGTGCATTTACTTTCACAGTTTCAGCATCCAGTAGAAAGCAGGTGCTCCTCAGAGCGTATATTCTCTTAACCCATGATTTTATCCATTATGAAGGAACTGCTTTCAATCTGAAATCAATGACTCTGAGACAGGAAAGATCCAAAGTATGCATGTGAATCCCACTGGCCTTAGGGGGATGAAGACATTCTATATCTTATTTGGTATTTTTTCCCCTCAAGCTCTACAGATTCATTACAATGGCTACAAAGGGATATATACACCTAGACTTGCGACCTCCATTGGGTAGCTGCATGTCTCCTAAAAACAAGTTCATAGTGCTTAATAAGCTTAATTGGAAATTACCCTTTCTTCAGAGTTTTTTGTTTAGTCTACACTTTTGGGTCAGGTGGGGGGAAAGGAGCTGTTTGGAAATTGTGTGGGTGGTGAAAGAAGCAGGAGATAAATGTTTCCCTATTTTTTTACCATGCATTTTATTGATTCCTCTACCTTTAATTTCTACAGCTGGCTTCAAGCATTGAAAATCAAGAATAGATGTTTATGTATTTTTCTGTGGGAACATATATACACACATGTTTCTGGCCACAGATTCATTCTAGTGAATCTGGGTTTTGGGGTTGTTTTTTTTTCATTGATCTACCAGGTTATACTTTGTGGAATTAAAGAAGATGCTCAGCACTGAGCTTGGCCATTTGTTTTCCTTTCAGAAGCTTGTGTCTATAATCATACCCTACAGGAAGGGTGATATTAGGGTCCAGAACCTAGTATTACCCCTTTTCTCACAGGCTACATACATACCAGCAAATAAAGGGAGTCAAGGCAGTTGACCCTGCAGATAAGTGAAACACATGTATATCTAAACTGCATTCTCCCCACAAAACAGGCTGGCCTTGGGTTGTTTCAACTACTGACCATTGCATGGACATTATGTGGATGTTTGCTAGTTAGAACAGGCCAGCTGGGACACTGCTGACAATTTGTCAAGATAAGCGGTTGCAGGACATAAATTGAGCCTGCAGCCTTGCTCTCTTTAGTTCATTAGCACAGATGAAATCACAGAAACTTGACTTACTACATTGTCCTTTCCAGTTCGGCATAGGGATTAAAAAATAGGCTCAACCAAAATTCTGACCCTCTCTTTTTCAGGGGCCTTATCAATATATGCCTCCCCTGGATATCACCTGGAAATCTCATATGATCGTATTAAAGATGTGGCTTTTGGTGCAACAACTACTGCTTGCACAGGCCCTGGGTTTGGTTGATTACATTGGGCCAGTTCGGCATAGGGATTAAAAAATAGGCTCAACCAAAATTCTGACCCTCTCTTTTTCAGGGGCCTTATCAATATATGCCTCCCCTGGATATCACCTGGAAATCTCATATGATCGTATTAAAGATGTGGCTTTTGGTGCAACTACTGCTTGCACAGGCCCCGGGTTTGGTTGAGTACATTGGGCTATCCAGGGTAAGACTGACGAGTAAAGGGCATTTAAGCCTTTTTCTGTGAAACTTAGCTACTGCTCTGTGCTCTTCAGAGGGAGATTAAGCCAGCCTCTGTGAATGGCTTAGGTCTCTGCCTTGAGGTATTGGTGCTGAGAGATAACTACATGGTTGAGCAGAACTAGTCAAGCACTCCAGTCACACTGTTGATTAGTGAAGTAAAAATGAGAGCTATTTGCCTTTGGCTTTCCCAGCCAAGCTCATTCCTTGCAGATGTTGACAGCAAAGCAGTAGCAAAGTCTTCAAAAAGGACAGTGAAACTGGTGGGAACAATCACCTCAAATCACCTAGAGCATGGCTGAGAATGAGAAAGAAACATTACCAAGCTCAGCTGTTAGGTAATTTGGAATAGTCTTTGGAAAGTCCTGAAGCATGGAGCCTGGCAGAGCATGGTTCCTGGAGGGACACATAAAACTGCAGGAAAGAAGACACAGCAGTTCCTGTTGCCAATGATTTGCCAAACCTTATTTTGCCTTAAGTAGTCTAAAATACACAGTAAAATGTGCCTGTGGATTACTTTTCCTATGCTGCAGATTTAGATCATATTTGGTATTATTCATCTAATTCGTGCAAAGAAGAACATGTGGTATGACTTCAGAAAACACTGAAGAAAGGCAACAGGTCCCAGAGTTGTACAGAACATAAACTCGTGTACACATTGAAAAACATGACAACGAAGAACATCAGACACACTCTTAACCACAACACCTAGATCACTTGCACTTACTGTTGGGCACGGTTCACAGCTTAATTTTGTACAGGTCAGAGTATATCTCCGAGAAGATGTCGACTGGAGGGAGCAGAGACATGTTGTGCATTGATCCACCATCAGGTGTCTCCACGGCTGAAATGTTAGAACCAGTTTGTACATCAGTGACTGTCTTCAGCAAAACACGTAATTAAACAACTTTATCTAGTTAAGTACCTTTTGCTACATCTCACATTGCAATTCTTTGCATGAGAAAACAGAAGAGTGATGCCCCTCTTTTCCAGAAATCAAAATTTTTGAATTTGTAATTCAACAAGCAACATAGCATGAGGCTATTCTTCAAGTAAGCCCTTTAGAATTCCTTAAACTGCAAAATGGCATGGCCATTCCTTACTTTGTTGGTTACACCCTAGCAAGCAAGAAGGGAATCCTTGACAGTGATGAGGAAGATTTTGTCATGAGCCATCATAACTGTGGTTTTGGTGGTTGCCACTAGGTAATTTTTCTCAAGTGCAGTGAACTGGTTTGCCAACAAATATTTATTCTAGATCCATTGCAACCCACAGATCATGGGCAGAAATTACTTGTTACTGTTCTTGCAATAATACTGCATAGAATCTTTAAAGACCTAAAAACCTTAAACTGAGAAAGGAGAACAATTAAAACAAACAAACAAGAAAATAAACAAACAATCAATCAAAACACAGAATTATTGACTGAAGAACTGGCCTTGTCCATAGTTACAAGCAAATCAATGGCTGAGCTGGCACACAGCTCAAATTCCCTGAGCTCTTCTCCAGCACAGCATTTAAAAGGTACAGAGGAAAATGCCAAACTATTAAGTGGAAATTAAAAGGATGTGGATTCCTCGCACTGAAAGGAATTCTTTCCTTCCTGCTTTCCAAGCGCACAGCCTTTCATTTCAACCTCAAAATATTAAACCACTGTGGCTGAATGGAGAAAATAGGAGGAGCCTATTAAGGATTTTCACAAAGAACTTTTAAAACCAAATAAATAAAGGGAAGAGACCCTGAATATCACTAGATTATAAAAATTTTGAGTAGTGTTTCAAATGTCAATGCAATTTCATGTTGACTCCATTTGGAATGGGAATTTCCCATGCTAAACACTACGCATATTTCAAATTAATTTTTTAATTTCACACCAGTAATCACTCATGGGACAAATGGAGCAAAACCAAGAAGACGGTTAGAGTCACAGTGTCGAGGTTTGTGGGTAACTCAGAGCCAGTACTCTGACATATACACTGAAGGACAAATGTTCTAATTAAACAAAATTAATTACATTCTTACTTTGCACCCCAGCACAGCAGAGGTCCTCAGGGCTCAGTGGTTTTCTGTAAAGCACCACCAATACCAATATCTTTTTTCTTCTTTAGTGGAGGTCTACAAAAGTGATCCTCCGCAAATAACACCATGGGCTGGTAATAGCAATGCAGAGATCCCTGTCTTTTGACAACCCAGCTGGACACAGAACCCTTCAGCTTTCTTGGTTTAACCTTTTATAGTGAATATCAGGTCATTAATCTGGAGGGTTAAAAGACCTTAATGGGTATAGGCATGAGGATGCACTCATTTTCCTATGGGAGAGGGATGGATAGCAAATGCCATATGCAGGACTAGACGTCTTGTTTACTACCAGCACTGGAGAGCATTCAGACACCAGAGCGATAGTTCTAGCACAGACTACATGGCCTCACAAGGGCTTTCAATCCGATGACGCCAGCACTGCTCTGCTGGTTAGCAGCTCCACAAACACGTGTGCATGTACACCCAAAAGCCTTGCAAATGTGGGAGTTGTCCTCATCATGGCGGCCTATTTCCAAATACATTTGGGGTTTTTTTGTTTATCATAATCAGGCCCTGTAAAAGCCAATGCTTATCACAGAATGACTCAGTAGCTCTAGGCTTTCACATCAGCAAGAAAGCATCTATAAACTCACAATTGATATTCCAATTGATATCCTCTTTGCATCTTGTAATAATGCTAACATTTCAAATAAATACAAAAAAAGATACATAAAGTTGAGTTTAGACTAAAATCACTGTTATGGGCAGGAACACAAAGGCTTACTAGAGACACGTTGAAACAAAATCCTCACACATAAGTGCCTTGAACTTTCTGGAGAAAGTCTTACCTTGATCCAAAGTTTGCATCACAGCTTAGTTCTATGATACTTATTTACCGTATTTAGGGAACAGCATGCAAATGGATTAAACAATAGCTTTCTGTGAACAGTCATAGCTTAGAATTATAGAAATGAGTGAAATAATGGATTGACACATCTTTTTCCCTTTATACCTATCGTGGTTTTTTGGCTAACTTAGAATGAAATGTCCACACCTGCTAACCCAGTGTTAGTCAGTGCAACCAAAATACCCTGCATAAAGCCCAAATCTACTCAGATCTCCTTCAAAAATGCCACTCGGTAAAAGCCTTGGAAAACAGATGAGTGATACAGATAAGCCTTTTGGTAAATACAGCCACCTGCTTGGAAGTCTGCAGCTAAAGCCCACAGCGCTGTTATGAACAGTGGAGTGAATGCTATGCACCAAATTACTGGAATATATTATTGGTAACCAGATACAAGACAAAAATGTAAAGGGATTAAGGACACAGTCAGCTAACAGGAGTGCAGTAAAAGGCTCAAGACTTGGAACTCTTCAGTGAATGAGTTAATGGAGCAAAGTTTTCCCTTGATATAAAATGAAATTTGAAACCTATTCTTAAAGGACCCAGAATAAAAGTTTTGAAATCCAGGAAGTATAAACTTCTGTGCACACCACATCTTCCTTCCTGACCAGAACTCTGGAACAGTCATTGAAGTAGAGAATAGTGTAAGACAAAGTTGTAGTAAGGCCAGCTGCTCAAAAGCTTTCAGCTGTATAGCTTATTAGCTTAAAGTAAGTCATTAAATGAAGCTAGTTTAATTGAAAAGATCATTAATTGAAGACAGGTTCTAATACAAGCTCTAATTCAATTTATTTATTTGAAATCAAAATGGCCACTTTGCTTATAAATCTTCCAAGATTATATCTCAACCCAAATTTCACACTCTCCATCCTGAGACAATATTTTGGAAACCGCATTGTTGAATGCTACCTTCAGTAACACTTGACACTTGCGACAGCAAGAGCACAGAAGTAAGAGCTGAGGCCTACCTAAACCCTCAATATCTTGCACAGACAGTGTTAGATAAAATGATCAATTCTCATGAAGAACAAATAACAACTTTTAATTTTAAGGACAGCTTTTATGTACAGCAAGTTAGGAAACAAGAATGAGTCAACATGTAATTTTGTGTCAGCTGAAACACTTTATGAATTCATACCAAATAAGGAAAATTTTTTTAGAAATTTTTTCAATATTGCAGAAGTTGATTTTTTTTAAGTCTAAAAAATACAGATACTGCTCATTTGTCTTCAACATGACATTTTGTTTTGAAATTTGCTTATGCTTTCATTTTAAAGTATTTTAAAACATTTTAAAACAACAATAGAACAGACTTTACTTGACAGATCAGGTAAACATTTTGTTGGAAGAGAAAAAAAATTCAGTGTTCATGTTCACACAGTACCTGAAATAACAGCAAATGGAAAGACACCTTTTTGCAACTCAGAACATAGATATAAGTATATCCTATACAACAGAAGGTGGTGGGAGCTAGAAATTACTCTACTGCATGACATTCTCTTCAAGTATGGTGTTTATAAAACGCCACAACTAGTTTTAAGAACATACTATAGAGGAGACAAATAGCAGATTATTTCAGATTTTATCACTTTAAAACCCTTCTCACAGTGTTCTGACAAGAAAGGCAGAGTTACCCAATGGATTTAATTCTAAAGGGAAGTAATCCCCATACAGGATAATGGGCGCTTGATGATAGGGCTTTAGCTCTACCAAACTGATAAACTTATGCCTATTGACTATGAAAAAAAATCAAACCCAGCAGAAATAGAAAGAAATATTCTCTCTGCCATACCTCAAAAGTCCAAAGAGATTTGGATAAACTTACCTTTTATATAAATGAAAAAAGACGTACATTGACAATGCAGGAATACATAGGTTACAAGTTAGGTTAAATGACTAAAGAGGACCGGTTTCCCTGGGGGATGGTGAGAATATTTAGAGCTCTTTGACACCAGAGGTGCTGCCAGAATATGGATTTAAGGAAACAATGGACAATTGACAGAGCTCTCCAAAGATAAATTCGGCATAAATGAGATCAGATGCTTAAGTCCCATCCTTCCCACTGTCATGGACTGGGTTGAACATGTCTTAATCTATCCATTAAATATGCAGTTGAGAAAAAATTTCCTCTGAGGGCGTATCAGCAGGGATCTTGAAAGGGGACAGAGGTCAAACAGTGAGAAAGCTCAGCTTTCCTGTTCCTGCTAATAGCCAAGGAGGGATACCCCTCCTTTCACACAGGTGGAGTAAGAGCCTCCATCCTTTTTTAATCTGCCTTATCCTCTAGGTAGAATACGGGAAGTTTTTTGCTTCCCCGAGGTGGGCAAAGATCATTTTTGAGATTATCCCTTGCAGATAGTTTCCTGTGTGTTTGGTAACCTGCAAGTCATTACACAATGCGATTACAACAGTTTCTAAGCACTTTTCTCAAGCATCTTTTCAAGATAAGGAAACATTATCGTCCCCATTTTGTGGAGATACTCACTCATCTAGGAAGATTGTGGCAGGGTCATGAGCTGGAGATACATGTGCTGAGATCCTTGCCACTGCTTTTACCCTGAGGTCCCACTAGCAGAGATTCTGCCTGAACAAAGCTGCCATGTATGCTTATCTGTAGTCTGGCAAATCCACGTTCTTCAAAACTCATTCATATGTCTAAATGTCTTACCATTACTACAAATAAAAGCAATTGTGTCTTACCCCAATAACAGTGCCATTCAAAGGACAACCATTCAGGGGTACTGAAAAAGAAAATATTCCATTTAGCATTACCATTATCATGACATTACTGAGATTTAATAAAAGGTTATGCTTTTTTTGACTTACTAGATTTCCAACTGAGGATATTTAGATCCAGTTTAACTGTAAAGAGGCATAACTGAGCCTTCTTACAATAAATCTTTAAAGGCAGCAATTTGTCAGAGTCATCCTGAATTCCACCTCCAAATACCTCTTGCTTAGCTGTTTTTTAACAAGTGCATGGCACAACACAATTTTTCCCCACCAGTTCACGCCTCACACTCTCAGAAGATGCATTCAGGTTTTCTGCAAGTTACAGCGCACTTTTCTCTTCCTCCTCCCACTGTTAGCTCCTTACACTGTGGTTGCAACTATACTTGTCAATTAAACATGACTGAGAATTAGCCAAATCTTCTGATCCAGGTCTATGCTAGGGGATGGCCACAGAGACAATGCACAGACTCATGCAGAAGACTGCATAGCTGCATGCAAACTCCCAGCTCATAGCAAGCCCTAGGGAGAGTGCTGAACCTTCCTAGGCCAAAAGCATCTCAAGACCTCTTTTAAATGTTTAACAACGCAGTCCAGAGCTGTAGAGACACAGCTTGGCATGTCTCTGTGAAACAATGCAAAATAGCTTAACAGTAAGCGCTTCAAAAGGAGACAGTGAACATCAGTTGGAAAGTAACAGCAACAGGTCTTATTTATTTAACGTCTAAATTATATGTGAGAGCTTCAAAGTAGTACTATACTTGCACAACATGCACTTTTGAAGTTGCTGTTGGGAAACGGGAGATCAGCAGATGAGATGATGATTCATTCTCTAGTGATTCAGTTTGACAAACACAGAACCTTACCACATCTGCAGGAAGGACAGCAGTCTATCATTTGGTCACAGCGGAGTTCAGTTCCCTCTGGACAGTCAGGTACATCCATTTGAGAGCAAGAAAAATTCTTCTGCTGCACAAAAACCTCATTGTTCACCCGGACACACTCATTGATAATGCAGCGGTTGAAGGGTGATCGCCACTCTGTGCCAACCTGATGGGAAATTTTAAGAGGATTAAGTACAGGCAGCAGTGTCTGCATCACTGGATAGCAGGAAGACAACCACAGCCAACATGACGGTTTGTAAAATGCAGTTGCTGCATCAGGAACAGTCTGTCACTCAACAGTTCTCCACAAATCCTTACTGCGACAATCAGTTTACAGAACACTGCTGCTTGGTTTGTAGAGTATAGAAGTTACAGGAGTATCCTTACAGTAACAGAAAAATAAAGGGGCAGGTGAAATAACACGTGAAGAAGAGAAAGAACTCTTAATCAGATTTAAATCTACATGTTCTCAGCGACTGGCTGTGTTGCATTGCGTTGTAGCCCAGCTGGCCCTCTTTCTGCTGGAACCTGCTGCAAATCAGCTCTACTAAGCCCAAAGGAGGCTTTGGCAATAAGCTCTAGACCAGAAAATGCAAAAAAGACTGGACCCTGTTGAAAGCCCTGCTGGTTACAGTCACCTGTGGGTCAGACAAGGCAGGAACTTCACGTGCTGTGTTGGCAAGAGACATCACCACCGGGCAGAAGGAAGATGCTGCCACAATTCAGCACTGGAAGGAGCTGATCACCGCTTTGAAGCTGTATGCCTCCACTGTTAATAGTCCTCAAATACACTTCCAGAACAGTGAAACTGAGAATCTGATACCAGCTCCAGTAAATTCAAACATCTTCGCTCAGAAACCTAGAGAATACCTGCCTCCCGTGTTAAATACTTAGTTCTTTGTTAATGACAAAAGAGTTGAAAGAGGACACAGCAAGAAAGAGACAGCAGAGCATAAGGATCTATTACTCCATTAGGACAACAGAAATCGGTAAGACATGATGGGACATTAAAATAGGCCTTCTGAAGGCTTGTTTTATGAAGCAGAGAAGAATATTGATCCACATTAAGAAATGCCCTTGGTAAAATCAGGGAGAGGCAGGCTGCAAAATGATACATTAATATTTTTTAAAAGATAGCAGCAGACTGCCTTTGTAAAAGAAGCATTAATAAAGTTAATATTAAATATGTGAATGCAGGATGTAGATAAAAATGCAGGCACATTATAAAGAACAACACTTATGGAAGAAAAGATGGGGAGAAGTTCTATTATTTTAAACGCATGTAACTTACTCTTCCTGCCTTTGTCAAACCCAAAACACTGCGTAGGATGAAGCATTTTAATGCTACTGGAGCAGGCAAAGGCTTGTCAAGGGTGGTTGAGAACAAACTGAATGGCCTGGAGGCATTAAAAATGTAAGCAAGAAAAGAAACAAATATCCATGTAGCTTTCCAGAACAGCAGGATATGTGTAGCACATTTTAAATGGCTGTTGCATGCACTCACTTCCCATTGGGCTCTTTGAATCCTAAGGGAGGAGGCACACTGCTGAAAGAAACTTATTTGAGCAGGAAACAAGTGTGGCCTGGACCACTGCAGTCTGATCTGATATGCAGCAATCTTCTTTAGCGACCAGAGAATAATTCATGTTTCTATCCTCATTTGCTTGCTGAGATTTCAGTGTGTACCAAACAGTAGATCCTGTTTGAATAGGACTGTGAAATTCAAGCAATCCACTACACCATCTGCCTACTATGTGTAGATTAATGCAAATTAATTAGGATTATTTTAAACAAATAGCCTACAGCCAGAGGAGCATCCTGGACTATTAACATTCTTTTGAGCTACCATTTGTGAGGTTACTAGTTTTACACAAAATTACTTCTTCCTTGGAGCCTGAAAAGCGTGGGGAGGGTTTGCTTGTTAGAGCTAAGTGGGTAAGGCACACACTATAAAAACATTGTTTTTCAGCACTGCTTCCTGTATAGAAGAAATAGCTCATATATTCTTCACCTTCTTCCATGGAACACAAAATAATTCCAGGGCACTTCTGGCAGAATAGAAATCCATGCAACCACCAGCTCACCTCGTGCAAACGAGGATCTGCATCGCCCCGAGACCAGACTAGCTGCTCCTCACAGGCAGTCTTCTGGCATCTCCCACAACACTCCCCTTCTTGGATGATATACTTGTAACCCTGCAGGAGAAAAGTACTGACTTATCCAGGAATAGAAGACTAATGGAAAGATTAATCCTACAAGAAAGCACTGTGATAGATGTTTAACATTAGCAACTTTTTGTGAAAAGAGGTATTTGAAAAAAGAACTGTAAGGCCATACGCTGCCACTGCAAAACCAACAAGTGGTCCACCCAGCTCAGCATCCTGTTAAATATTTAACATCACCTGTCAGAAAAAGTAAAATAAAATGAACACAACATTAAGGGTAAAAATCTTTATCTCATTAGTTCCTACTTAATATATACTGAAGACATATTCGCTTCATCTACACTGATAGCAGTCATTTCCAAATCTTGGTTTATTTTATGAGAGAAGTTTTTTCCGTGATTTAGGAAATTGTAAAGAGCAAGTCCTTCCAATAATATGACTCTACAGAGGAGTGCCAAAGGAAAAAGAAGTAAGCCCACTTCTAAGGGTGACTGTCACGATGGACATGAGATTTAGTAGAAAACTATATATGAATATTAAGAATCCAGATTAAAAAAAATCACTACCTTAAAATACATTTGGTTTTATGTATGAGTCTTGTAAGTATTTCAAAAATCTATTTTTTTAAAATATAATACTATCATACAAAAGCAAATGAAAGGTAAAAATTTTTCTAATAGCATTCTGGATGTCAATCAGCACTCACAAGTCCCTTTCTCATCCCTGAGATTTCAAGGTTAGGTTCAGTCTGAGCACATTCTGATTGCCCTGCACTAAAGCAGAGGGAAGGGGTTGGTCAGACATGTAGTCCAGGGACTAGTTTTGACTGATCAATTCATCTTTTCATCTCCTGAAGCAATTAGCCAAATATTCAAACACTGGTGTATTGAAGTGAAATAAAGCAAGGAGCTTTATTCTAATTAGAAATAATATATTCTGTATTTAATAGCTAGGCAGTCTCCAAAGGGCAAAGCATAACTCTGAGGTCAACACAGAGTTGAAAGAAAGATGTTCTGGCAAGGAAAACATTGTTTGTGTGAAAAATGTCAATGAAAGTAAGCACCAGTTTATTTCAGACAACCTCTCTGAACTGACAATGCTGAAGAATTTCCAACTGCTCCTCCTCCTCATGAACTGTCCTGGATTTGCAATATGAAGCACAAAAGCAAACCTCAGTAATCAGAAGACTTCCATATGGAAGTGCATCTTGTATAATATCATACAATGTAATGCCAGACCTAGATTTATGGGGAAAGTTTTGCTATTTAAGATTTTGTTTTATATTGCTTTTGTCTGCCAAATACGTGCCTGAAGCATCTAAAGTATGGGATGCAAATTTTTGTTTTAGTAGCAAAGTCAGAGAAATAAAAATCCATGAGCTGTTTGTGCCCAGAATAAAGTCAGCATCCTGACTAAGCAACATCCTGCTGCAGGATCCAAATTTCTCTACCACAGTTTGAACAGAGCACTCTAAGTGCAAACAAAAAGATGCTACACAGAGGACTCCCCGTGTGATTTGCACTCCTAAAGCACTGACAAAGATGGACATTTCAACTAGCCAGAGTGGCCTTTTTAGTGCTTGGTGTGTTCAAAATCTGAGGGGTCTGACTCCTAAGGGGAAGAAATGCAGGAGATCATATCTCCTGACCTCAAGGCTCCTTGAAAAGCAGAGAGGGTGGCCAGTGATTCCCTGCTGTCATAGATCCTCCACAGCATGAGAAACATTTCACCATCAGAAATCTCCACCTTCAGTACTCACACCGCAGAAATTTGGGCCCACTGGATTAAAGAAAGGTTCGTTTTATGTTTAATTCTACAGTTGGCAATATTTAAGGTTACATCTGAGAAAAGGAAAAGTATTGTGCGCTTTTTCTTTTTATTTTTCCCCCCAGTTAGATGGCCCACATACAGAGTATATACTACCAGGATCATTCCTCAGCTGCACCATCTACGGTGGTTGCAGATACTGTGCTGGTGAAGGTTGTGCTAGATGTAGTAGGCAGTATCCATCTTTTCCTTCATTATCTTTAATTTTCTACTGTATAGACACTGTAGAGGTGTTGGTGTTTACCATGATTTGTTCAAGGATTCACTTGCTGCTTGAAGTCAATATTCTGCTCATCCCCTGCTTTTTCTGGAATGGATCTGCCTCTATTCCTCCTCCGCATCCTGACAACCTCTGGGTTTTTTTAATTCTTTTTTAAACACAGAGTTCAAACAGGGAATTAAAACTCAGAAGCTGACCTCGGTAAGTGTCTGACTGTCACACAGAGAGGCAGATCATAGCCTATGAGACTAAAAAATCCCTGTGCCCCAGGAGGTAAGAGATAAGGCAACACCAGGTACTCCTCACATCTTTTCATGGGCGGTAAGGTTTTGGCCAGAAAAACTCTGCCTTTTGGCCAACAAAGCAGGCAAGAAACAATGGAGATAATTCCTCAACATAGTATTTTTAAGAAGGCTCCAGTATTTGCCTTTTAAATATTGAGATGATAGTACCTAGAGAGTGTTGGAGAAACCAATGAGAATGAAAATGGCAACAGTAGATTAAGAAAAACCCAGTAGGATGGATATAAACAAAACTGAAATGCTGAAAGCAAAATCTTCAGTGACAATGAATCAACACAATTGCAGAGTTTTCCCCGGAGCTACCCTCATGCACCTCAGGTGAGAAGTTAATTCTCCATTTGCAAGTCTGTAGAACATTTCCTAATTTGCATTTCAAAGCATAATTTGTTATGGAAGCAGGACGTTAGAAATTACCTCCCACGAAATTTTGACAGTTCTTAAATGGGATCTTGCACATCTAATATTCAAACTATCTTCCTTTTACATTAATTTCTTTGACCTCCTTAATATACCCTATTAAGCCATTTACTACCATGCCTCGCATGCTGCGTCAAAGGAAAATGTCCATTTGAAATATTGGAGATTAGAGCCATAGATTTTGTCAAACACATCTGTTACAATAAACATTCACTATGCCTCTGTACCTGTGGTGCAAATGTTCTTTATTTTAATTTCACATAGTCATCGAAAGGCTTGAAAATCTCACCTAATTAATTTACACACACTTAGCTAAATGGGTTTTTCTTAAACACTTATCCCAGAAAATTATGCTTCATTCTTCTCATAATCATCTAATACTTTAAATTATCCAATACTTAAAAACACACTCTTTTATATCACTTACAAAGTACCTAACTTCAAGAACATTGACAGAAATTAAGTAAAGCAAGTGCTCCCTTCACTTTAGCATACTAGTGATTTTAAAGTGTTTTGAAATCTGTTATCTGCTTTTTCACCATGACTCTTTGAAGGGATGCAGTCTGATGAACTCAGAAATCATTTTTGAGGGTCCAGGAAGGTAGGAAAGTACAGACACCACTCCTCCTTGTGGCACATGCAATAATTACAGCAATTATCTGCTTGCTTTCTCAAAACTTTGCTGAAAGATAGTGAGGGAACTATGACATATAATGAAGCAAATCCACATCTGCTTTGTAAGTGAGAAGGTTGTTTTTACTGTTAACCTCTTCAGAGAACTGTGGGATTGGTTCATTTTAATGAAAGATCCTCTCTTTCCATAGTGTTTCTTTACAGTATAAAATGTGATTTGAGTTCAATTGGGCATCCTCAGGAGAACGGTAGCACCATTAATCCATCAGCGTGAAGGACTTAGTACATGTATTATGGTTTTATTTCTCTTTTTGTATAGCTAGATAAAAAACTGACACCAGGGCAGTCTGTTGAGTCACCGGCCAACTTGCATATTTTTATCAGCTACTGGATCACTGAAAGTACCAATGTTACAACACACATTGGGAAACACTTGCTGATTGGTCAAGTGTTTGAATTTTATGTGTGCTAATGCAAAATGTAGTCTAATATAAACATTTAAAAATCAACTTGGAGAGTCGCATAATATTAACTACTTCATCTTTGCTTCTGCACTAAGGAAAAAAACAAACGAGCTTCTCTGGGCTACACTTCATGGTTCAGGGAAGAACAAACCCATGAGGAAAACCATGGGTCAGAAGAAGACCGACAGAGAATATTCTGAATCCCACACAGCCACGTCTACTTGCTCTACGCGGGCCCTGCACAGCCTATTGAACCTGCGGATTGTGAACATACCAGACCATGGACTAGTGAAGAGCTGCTTGATGTCAGATGTGGCTGTTCCTGAATGGAATTGGCTAATACCATCAAGAACAATCTCTATTATTCCATGTATATCAGCAAAGCTTTACGAAGCTTTGCATTTACAAAGGCAAAATGTATTTGTGGTAGGCCCTGACGTTGGCATCACAATTTCTCTGGCCTGGAGGTTGGTAAGGAGTGTGGATTGTCAGCACTTGGCTGGGCTGAGGAGCATCTTCTGCCACCTGCTTTTTTCTGCAGACCCAAGCTGTGCATTCCCACTCTCCTCACTGACTGACCCAACCATGCTAACTTCATGAAGCAAGGACATAGAATGCTTGGTGATTACAGATACAAGGTGGTAAATACTAAAGTAAAATGCAACTCTATGGCATCACATTTAATTTTACAGTGATTGTTTACTTCCTTATTCTCCACATTATGGTATGGTGAGGAATGTTAGGGATGTAAATTTGGTAGTTTAAAGCAAATATTAAGATAATTTTGAATTTTTGTTCACACAAACCATATTATGGTCCAAGTCTTCTAATTTATGAGACTGTCTAGTGCTGCTGACTTTTAACTAATACCTTTGACCTTTCTAGAATTCTTCTATCAACTTTTTTGTACCAAGTATCTGTCTCCTCCTGTTTGACCAGCTCTGTCAATACAACACAGCAGCTCATACTTCCTTTTTGGGCTTCCAAAAGTAGACCACATAATTTTGTATCAAGTAGCAGATATCTGAGCATAATAAAGGCCACAGCATGTTGTGTTATTACTGCTATAATGGGCAGAACTGAGCAATAGACAGATCTGAAACAGTCTCTCCAGAAAGTGAACTTCAGCTAGAACAGTCATTTGAAACTGAACTTCAAACGTGACAAGTACTTATTGTGCAAGTGGTGTACATGATAGACACTTCAGGATGCAGTTCTCCTTTTACCGAAATATGAAATAAACATGTCACTGATTTCCTTGGCAGCAGGAGATGATCCTAAGCAACAACCCTAAAAAAAGTCAGTAATGCTCAGGCCCTCTTAGACTCTGTTCCCAAGATAACTTGTTGCTACAACACTTATTTTCTATTTTTCACTGGTTTCTCTAAACACACAGTTTTAAAAGTAATCATTTCATTTCCTCACCAGGGCCCTGCTGGCTAACACTCTGGTTTAAATATTACTCACCCGAGAGCAGAATGTGTTACATGCTTTGTCATGACACTCCATCATCTGAAGTCCTGTAACATCATCCCTCATACTAGTGCAAGAGCATTCCCTGCAACCATCTTCCCAGGTTGACCCAACGGGGTAGACTATGTTGTTGTGCACACACACCTGTTGGATGCAACAATTAATACATGAAAGAGCACACTGCTGCTGAAGGGCACACTGCTGGCTCCCAAGGGCTGCTTTGTAAAAGGTGAAACCTGCCATAAATGTTATGCAGCATTTTTAACCTGATAGAAATGCTGCAGGTCTTAAAATTGTGGCCACTGTGTAGAGGTGAGGAAAATAAGCCAAAGTTTCTGTTTTATTTTGGAGACTACTGCTGGCTCCCAAGGGCTGCTTTGTAAAAGGTCACCCCTGCCATAAATGTTATGCAGCATTTTTAACCTGATAGAAATGCTGCAGGTCTTAAAATTGTGGCCACTGTGTAGAGGTGAGGAAAATAAGTGCAGCCAAAGTTTCTGTTTTATATTGGAGACTTTTACCTGCAGCAGGTGGAATTGCCCAGGGTCTGACTCAGTTTCACTGAAGTATAATGTGACACAATATTTAGAGATAATAAATAGTGAGCCTTGTAGAAGGGGCCACGCACACAAATCTTCTTCCAGCTAAATCAGCTGATCTGAAAAGATCCTACTTTGTGCTACCAGCATTCCTTCTCTAGTACCCTTAGGCCATCACAGCTACCACGAAAGTAGTGCCATATTGCACTTTCTATTAGCAAATTTTGAAGCATGTTATTAAAGAGATTAATACCATTTATTTTTATAGCTATGGCAAGTAAATCACAAACACATAAAATTACTTATTCAAGGTCATGAACTACTTAGGACAAAAAATAAAGGCTAGATCTCCTGAGCTGCATAAGACTGCATAACCCTACGTTAAGCTGTTAGGTAAGGTTGCTTCAAAGAAATGGCTACATTGTCCTGCAACCTCTCCTCTCAGAAACCTGATCTTAAAGGCTAACATACTACTACGACTTCCTAAAATGTTGGAAAAATAAGGGAAAAATATATCCTGGTGAAACGTTAGCAGAGTCAGCTATTAATTTGACAAAATAATTAAAAGTGGCAAAGTAGTTCCTGTAAGATACAATGCCTCCTCAGGCAGAGGCAATGGTAATCAGTGGGGACAATGATTTCAGGTCTAGGGTGTCCCAAATATTTTAATAAAGTATAGGATTGAAAGCAAATATAGTAAATATAAGCATGTACCTCTGTTATCCAGAAACAAAACTTTTAAAATTATCTCTGAAATTCCTAATGCTGGAATGATCTTGAAGTTTCAAATATTTTTGGTTTAGTTTATATATGTGTGTGCGTGCGTATATACAGACACACAAAATCTGATTATTTCAAAGTCACAAAAAATGGGTTGGTGGTGTCAGAAGAAAGGACTGTGATAAAACAAGATACTGTGTGATGCAACAGTTACTTCTTTCAGATACATGTAAATTAAAAATGTCCTGGCATCATTATCTGTTATTTTCACTGGGGGGGTGTTGCTAATACCTAGCTACTCACTTCTTTCAGTGCTGTCACTCCATGTATAAAAGGTACTCTTATCTGAGGAAATGAGATTTCATTGCCCTTACCCTGCCTGGAATGCAGGTGGTGGATATGCAGCCACAGTCATTGGTGAGAGTTCTGGACAGATATCCCAGAGGGCAGTTCACTGTTGAGTTTGTACAGCTGCAGGTACACTCATATTTATCACAGCACTCGGTCTTCTTAACAGTCAGCTCTCGATGTGGTGGGCAGGAAGGTCTTTGAACCAAGCTGCATGCTTCTCTGTTACAGGCTGGCAGAAGAAGGTAGGTACCATGTCAAGCACACAGCATTTCAGAGTGCTGCGAGTGAACCGGACGGTTCTCTGGCAGCAAGGCACAAATTTCATACTGCAAACAGTTACAAACCTACGTAAAGACTAAGAAGTAATGCAGATATAAAAGAATCAGGTCAAAAATTGTGGTGCAGACTCAGGAAAAGTTCCACCCCTGCTAAAAAAAATTCCTGTCTCATATAGAATCAAAAAGATTTAAAAAATAAGCGTAAGAGTCACACATGTCCAAGAGTGAGTTGTTTCTTTTTCCCTTAATTCAAAAGCACACTCAGAAAGCACCAACAATACTGTTCTTCCAAGTCTGTGAAATCATTACATGGCTCCAAAATTAAACCTTTCAGAAGGAACACATAATGGCTAAAGGAAGTTGTCAGCCTTGCTCAAATGCAGTGCTCCAGTGTCCCTCCCTGCTAAAAAAAACTATCTTACCACATGTGTAATTTGGTCTGCATTCTCCAGGGTTGGTCAGAGCAAGCTGAAAGCCAAACTCACAGGCAGGGGCAGGAGGAAAATCACAGGAAACCAGGTCACAGACTAAGGAGAGAAATTGAGAGTGTTAAAGACCACGCCTGTCTAGAGAGTCCTTAAGTAAAGACACACACATGCATGCACACCCCCATTAACCTTTTTTACTCCACGCCCAATTGCTATCCTAAAACATGATGTAAGTTGGAGTTCAGCAAGGCAGCGTTTGTTTTCAAAATAGCTTAGGGAACAGTTCAAGTTTGGGTAATGAGGATTAAGATTCTAATGTTGCATTTAACATGTAAATATAGACCATGAAAAAACAGATACTTGAAAAGAGACCATTATAATGTCATTTAGACAAAAACAAATTGCTCTGTTCCATTCTTCATGGGGATTCGCATTCTGAGTTGTTTATTTCTCCACACAGATGATTTACAGTCATTCAGTGGTTTAAAAAAAACAAGTATTACATTAAATTTAAAAAAATTGATTGTATCCCTTTGAAGCATTTTGTAAAAATGTGGACAAAGAAAACAGTTTATGAGAACCTACCACACTCGTACTTGGGGCAGCACTGGTCGGGGTCCCTGCGCAGACGAGGGATTTCACAGGGACCACACTGAACAGCTGAAGAAGAAAACATCCATAAAACAAGTTTGGATAAGAACTAGAAAACTAGGCAATGAAAACATCAATTCAAGTCTAATCATACTTAGCGCTAAACCAATTTACGTTTGGCAGTCGGGCAAGGTCGGATGGTGCAGTTTACTTTCTTGTTATCAAGACACGTGCAGATCTTGCAAGGCTCACTGGTGGGAACCCATGTTTCCATGTGCTGCATGGGGGGGAAAAAGAAAGAAAACACCAGATTGTTAGAAGTCAAATATTCTGTTCACTGGTATGTTGGTGGTGGGAGTCCAACTTGGAGCAGTGAGGCGGAGCAACATTAATTTTGAAACCCAGGAGACTATATGCAGGACTGGTTGGTTGCTCTGCTAACAGTAAGAGCCTAAGGAGATACACTGTTCTAAAATTACTAGAGTGTACCAATTTAGCAAAACATGTAAAGAATGCATGAATGGGATGAGGAATTACTATTGTTTTAAGCATGAAAAATGCTCCGATGTTATAAATGCAATCGCAGGCTATTGTGAGGAATAGTGGACTCATGCAACTACATACCATCACTGGATGCTCACTGGTAATAAGGGAAACAACGCTGTTTTGGGACATACATAGATGTGGCTGCTTTCCCAAATTAGCAGTACTTAAATACAGAGAAATAAACAGTGCATATTTTTTTATTAAGAAAATGTGGGGTCTCGTCGCTGGACTTCCCAGTGGACTGCAGGCTGGAAAAGCACAATAAGAAGCCCAAATCTGAAACCATCACTGTGGTGATTACCTGGAGGTAATAAGCACATTCAGAAATTGCCAGTAAGTGTATTATTATGCAACTACTGCTCTGTCTCTTGAGAGAGGTAAATTATTAATTTTAAAGACATAGTTACCTATAAAGGACTACCTACATTTAACACTTGTGTGAGTAGATAGGTAAGACTGAAAAGATGCACTATGGGACAATAACATTAATTTGCAAAATAAACCCACGATCTGGGTGAAAACATGTAAGGTAGGTTAGGTTGCCACAAAAGGAAAAAGTGTGATCCAGAATACTCTGCAGTGCAGTTTAAAAATAACATTCTGCTGAGAACTTTAGTAATAAGAAGAAAGGAAGGAAATATCTAAGCGTACTGTCACCTGTATCCAGAGATACAGATGTGTTTTAAGCCAACACAGGAGTCTGAAAAGGCATTTTACTTCTGAAGGTTAACAGCATGGCAAAAATAAGACAGCAAGCATGCTAGAACAAGCCAGGCAAAGGTTTAACAAAGCTTAGGATCCAAACCACACAGGGCTGGTTAATCCATAGGAGGTCTATTTTAGTCAGAGAAAGCTTGCCTCAATGTGTTTCTGGTAAAGAACATCACCTAAGGGTTTGGGAAAACAACTCGCCCCTCTGCCAGAGCATTCAATGGCCTCAGGATTCCAAAGTCCCGATAAAGCAGCCGATAGAGAATGCCCACAGTTGCAGGTGCTGATGTGAAAAGCACGTGGATATTTCAAGAAACAGAGCAAGAGAACCATGACGTTGGCTCTAACATTTTCGGCAGCTTCAATTTTCAGACAGGTTTTCTTCAGCGTAAGGAGGAATCTCTTTCCAATACCAGAAGAAATTACAAGAGATAGCACAGTGCTAGTAGAGCTCTATGTGGATGTTAGTACTGAGAATCCTGTAAGCACACACATGATCTGGGGCAGAAAGGAACAGAGGAATGAACACCAGAGGGAAAGAAGGGGGTTAAGGAAATCCTAACCCACCACCACTCACAACGCCTGTTGCATTGCTCCTGCTGCTAATCCTGCAACAGTGGGGATGCAAAATGGCTGTGTGAGCTGATCCTTCCCTGCCCTCCGCCTCCCCATCCACACAGCAGCTGCATCTAAGCCTTGCCGCTGGGGTACAGACGAGAGGTTTTCAGAGTTAAAACCCCATTAAGGGTCATGCGATAACTCATGAATTTCAGAACTTCTGAAGAAACAAGTAGATATCATGGAGACATCATTCCCAAGATGTGCACTGAACTTTTCTCCACAAGGTCTTGAAGTAATTATTTAAATGGAAAATGCACTGCATTGCCTCAGGATTCAGGGATTTAAGTCACACAGATCCTAGGCTTTAATCTGCATTTGCAATAACCATTTCATATCGAATCATAATATAATAACTAGAGTTCTCAGGGTCACTGAGAGTTGTGCACAAGCGATCTGTGTTTAGGCCAGTGATTATATACATTGCAGGCTATTTTTTCCTTCAAGGAAAATAAGAAGATTTTTCCCTATTCATTTTATTACAAAAATTACTGGGGTCTTTTTTTCCTTCCATTTTACCAGCTCTGTAAGCACTGCTCAAATCCAATTATACTGTATTTAAAACAAAGATCCAAAGCAGAACACACATTAAAAATCGTGGCCATGTGTACGGCGATACCGTAACCTTAAGAGAAAAGCTAATACAAGCTACGTGTGCTCAATCCTTCAGAAAACCCCAAACTTTTGTTCTGAAAAACATCATTGTAACAGTGCCTCTGTGGAATGAAGGAACACAATTTTCCCTATGTCTTCCCTCTCGCTTCCAAAGTCCATAGGGTATGCATACCTGAGGATGGAGGCTTATTGCTGTTAGGCTCTTGTGCCAGCCCCTTGTCCAGCAGTAGGAAACCCCCAAAATCGTGTTTAGTGAATACTTCTTGAGCGCACTGTGCTTTGACAAGTACCAGCAGGCAGCACAAAGGCACAGGCCATGGCAAAGCAGGATCCTCAGATCCACATGGACCTGTCCCGTGCAATGGCAGGCTGCACTGACAAATGCGGGATGCATGGTGCCAACCAGCAATCGCTACGATTGTCGCATTGGCAAAGCAGTGCCTGCAACACATCCTTCACCAAGGCAAGTGCATGGCTTGCTGATACCCATCACCTAAAGAAAGGCGTTTGCTCTGTTAAGTTGGATGCTTTTGTCATTATGTCAATCAGTGCAAAGAGTATTTAAGAGAGATGTTGCAGCCACAAATAGTTTTTGCTTCCTTTTGGTTTAACTGTAAATATTTATAACCCATTTCTTGTGGATCTAAATGCAAGTCTAAATTTCTGTGTATAAAATGAAGTTTTCTACTTTTTTAGGCTATACACAGACACACTTCTGTTCATTCCAGAAGATCTCTGTTACAAAAAACGAGTATGTCTTTGACAGCAGGTTTGGTGAGAAAGATAAGATCATCCAAAAATCATGTTAAGAATCTAAAGCCCATAAAATGCTGAAATCAAAGCCCTTCCTTCTTAAAGGCTCATAACAAAACCACAGTTTTAAGAGGACTGGCTGACTTGGGTGAAAACTCCCAGAGTTCAGTAGCTGGGGGTGAAGAGGAACAACCCCTGGTACTTGAAACAGGGACGTAGGGAGAAGATTGCGCACCCGCAGTGTGATGCCAAAAGGGAAATCAACAGTCTCTCTCACTTCAATCTGGCATCCAGCACCCATAGCTCTTCCCAATCCTACTCTGTTACAGAGAGGTCCAACTTAGCTGAGGAAAGTGGATTTTCAATAAATCTAAAATGATGGATTCCATCAAAGGAATAATTCTCATCAAAAAAAGAAGGTAGGCTAATACAACCTGACATAAGGTCATCTTGGTCTCACTGCTCCACACTAATCACTGAGTAAGCTTTGCAAAGGCAACAGGATACATTTTAAGCAAGGGTTCCAGATTTATAATTAAATTGTCATTACTGGCAAAAGTCTGCTGAATGGAGGTGTTTATCTTGATAAACGTTGACTTATGCCATTCCTCCTCTCTTCCCTCTAGACCTCCCTTCACACAGATTTGTCATGCATCTCCGGGTTTGTACAGTCCCAGCTGAGAATCTCATATCCATCCCAGCCAATTTCACACTAGGGGAGCTACATGGGGCTGACAGCCAGCCGGTTATGAAGAACGGAGCTAGAAAATAAAGTATCCAAGGAGGAAAACAGACTTATAAGACAGATTTACTTGCAAAAGTAGAAACCCCAACCACTTCCAAAGGTGAGCTGCTAAGTAGACAGTTACCTGATGGCGTGTGCCATCTTCACTGACACATTGCGTGCAGACTTCATCAACACAGCTGTCATTAAAAATCACCTGTCCGTCGGGACAGAAGCAGCCTTCTGTGGGATAATCCTTGCAGACACTGAGTTTGGTGCTATTCTCACAGTGGTTTATGCAGGCTTTGTGGCAGTGATCATATGTCAAATATGTGGGACATGTCATTGCTGTGGAAGACAAAAATAAACTCCTTAGAGAAAGAGATCGAAATGCAGATAAATATTTCCACTCACACTTCCTTTAGAATTCTGTTCAGGTTTCTGAAAGCCATCATGTGGAGAACATATTTTGACCTTTGCAGCCACTAACATCTTTGAAAATACATATTTAAAACTAACAAAATCCACGGTGTAAAGTGACTGAAGGCATTTGCTTAAGCTACAGTCCATACAGAAATCATCAAGCCACATTTTTAGGCCACATGAATCAGCAAACTATGACTTATCCTAATAATGACACAATGGCTTACATGACCGGAATATCTTGCCTAACTTTGTTTTCAGCACTGGGAAAGCGACACAAGAATTTAGAGCCACCTTTACACGTATTAGAAAAGCAGTAGTAACAGTGCATGGTTAGCAGACATCCAGGACAGACTAAAGCATTCAACAAAGATTTTTTTGACAACTTGATAGGCAACTCTTCCCAAGCAACTAAAGAAATCAAACAAACAGAACATTTTGGCATTTCAAAACTGAACCTGCTTGATTTCTGCACCTTTTTAACTGAATAGCCTTATTAAGAGAATTAACAGAATCAAGCAAAGTTGCATTCCACCCTAAGCCAACACATAAAACGTTAACTGATGAGTTCACAACACTGAGGGTATTGTCTCTGAAAGCAAAGACAAAACTAAGGCCACAGCTCTTCAAGAAACCTATGGACACAGCTTCCAGACTGTGTACTCCTTGAAGTCTACTTTTTCTCTACAGCTTCAATTAGAAAAAGTGTTTCTTATTTCCCACTTTTTGACTGATTTGAGGTTTATAAATTCTTTTTTTCTGTCCCCTGACAAAAAACACTGGAAGAAAAATACTGAATGAAGACCCGAGCTCCCAAACAAACAAGCATTCATCAGCTGAATTGTCTATACACACCCGTCGTAGCAGCCAAGGGAAACAGAAATGTC